GGCGAGATCGTAAAACAAAACCGAGACAAATTAAGCGTTTTAAAATAAGTTCATGCCAAAACTCCGTCTGGAAGAACGATCTTCTGTATTACCTTATGATGTATATTAGCACCCCATATGCAATATAAGCAAAAGACGAAATATAGACATGGAAAATGACTAGACAAGTCAAAAATTAAGAAGGACAAAAGAAAATAGAGGGCCAATTGCAGATTCGTAATGAAGAGGAAGGTCAAGGTGATAAAAAGGACACAATGAAGAACAATGTAAAATGCTTTAGGATTTGCTTATTTAGTAGATTGTGACAGTTAGTAAAGATTATAAAAGTAAAGTAAAAGTACACACTGTTAAAATTTTTATTAATTTTATTGAAAGGGAGAGATGTAGTGTATGCACATAATGTACCACAGACATTAGACAATATAAGTTACACTGCGGCCCGCGGCCCGCCGTTCCCGCACTACGACACTAGACTGTGGTGTGAGCGGACGTATCGCACGTGTACGTGAAGTAAACACATGTTGTTTCATTGAGCTATCCCTATACTAAGTAGCGTAGACGCCACACTAATGACCTGTCAAAACAAAAAAGTGAAAATGGTTATTTTATAAAAATGTTTTAGACTGATCAGAATAAACGGTTACTATATTATGCTACGACTAAGTAGTACCCACAAGAGACTAAATATGAAAATTATACAAAATCATGCTCTCAACACCAATAAACAGTATAAATACAGGTATTTCAGAGTAGTGGCAAACAAAAAAAAAACAAATTGAATCAAAAAACAAGACTTACTAAGCATTACCACTATTTTTTTGAAGTTGGGGCATGCTTTCTGCGAATAACAGTGCTTTTCACTGGTGCCGCCAGTGAGGAGGGACCTCCAGCAGGATCTTGACGGACCGTGCTAACCATTGCCGATGTCTCCGTGGATTCTTGGAACTCCGCAGACGTGTGGATAATGTGCCGCTTACCCTCTTCGTCGAGCTCTATAACGCGCCTCTGACTTGTCCAGCATTTAGCCACCCCAAGTTTCTGCCGGGCCTCCATGAATAGATTATGGCGCCTTCTTGTCAAAAATTCCAATTACTGCTGGAGGCAATACCACCAGGCGAGATCTTCTTCGGTTCATCTTCAAATGCAGTCATCCGTGCAGAAAAGGATTGAGATAGTGCCTCAACACTGCCTTTGATGCCCTCCATGTTGATGTTGTGTGATTTAGTGATGTGTTGTAAGTGATAAGGAGTAATTGTGAGGATTCTGACTGCCAACAGGTACTGTTGTCTAAACTATCATATTATGTAAATGTTAGGCCTTTAAGTGCTATTTAACTATTTAATTAAAATAATTTCTGCAACTAAAATTTGACTTTTTAGTTAGAGGTCTACCTTCTACAATCCTTTTGGACATATTATTTAAAGGACCAATAAAAAAGGTTGAAATATGATAACAATATTCACATAACCCACTGGCCACATACTTATACCAGAATGTTTAATCAAAATAAAAACAATTGAAGTTATTCTCTTTTCAAATTAAATGTTAAATTACTTCATTAACCAACTTAAAAAACAAAGGAGGAGGTTATACATTATATGCACTCTCGTTATGGTCCCATTGTCACCAAGTCAGACTCTGAGAAAGGACCCCCATGGAAATCGAAGGAAACCCTCATATTTTATAGACAAGTCCATGTATGTATCTATTTCTCCATCAATTGTGCACCGATTTTGAAAATTCTTCTTTTGTTTGAAAGGATATACTCTCGAGGTGGTCCCTCTGATGGTCTGGGTTCATTATATCACTAATTACTATTTATTTTCTGGAAATAAAAGTCCTTTTCACTTGACACAATATGTGTAATGAAAAAGTCACCGTTACCATGAGAACCAGAAAAGAAAATATACAAAGGAATCCGTAACATTTCCATTGTTACCAAGAAGTCAGAATCTGATAAGAGGGTTCCAAAGAAATCGAAAAGAGCCGATAAGCTAACTTTTGAGGTCGGTTTTTTTTTTTTCTATGAAAATATTACAATAATTTTAACTTTTATTTTTGGTCATTTGAATATGTATGTCCATCAGTGTGCATGTTTTCTGTAGACACACACAATTTATATTCATGTATTTTTAAACGTTTCCACCATGAGTTCACCAGTGACCACGTAAAATTTGTCACACAAACACAAACATACAACGGTCACTGTTAAGTCATGGTACAGGCTCTATACTACTTTTTATTGTTTATAAGTACTATCACATCGAGTAATGCTCACATTACAGTTTGGCGGCAGAAATAGCCCAACTAGCACACAAGCTCTAATAACAAGCCTTACAATAGCCAGTTAGAAGTTCTTAATAACGGCTTAGGCTGCATTAACAAGTTTAATCTACTGTCGAGATGTATAAGCGGCTATAGCGCCGCTGTACCCCCAAATAAACGCTATGGGTCTACAATGGTCGTGAATGTGTCGCACCCTTAGTAATATAAGGGCACAATCCAAAAAAAGTAGATTTTTGGGAAATTTGGGAATTGATAGGGACTTAAATAATAAATGGGATCAAACTTATATAGCTCCATATTTCTGTTATATTTTTTGTACTATATGGGTTTAGACCCATATAGTACAAAAAATATAACTTGAAAGTGTTTTTTTAACTTGCTTGAAACTTATGGAATTTATTTATATTTTTTTTTATTGCTCTTTATAATACATTTATCAAAGAACAAATCTGCCAAATTTCATATTTATAACTTAAATAATAAGCATATTATTTGAAAAAATATGTGTAATGTAGGAATCCAGAATCTTAATACGCGATTTCCCAAAAATCTACTTTTTTTGGATTGTGCCCTTATATTACTAAGGGTGCGGTGTGTTAGTACGAAGTCACAATGTTTCTATGTGCGCGGTTAATGTGCGTCTAAGTAATACAAAGGTGCTATGCGAGTCAAACAGAAATTGAATTTTTTTTTTTATTGAACTGATGATATGAAATATCACCACGGCTAATATTTTTGGTACGGCTATCATTTTTGCACTCCAAAACAGCACAAGAAGGTATTTTTCTAGGATTTTAAAGAATTTGCACGAAAGAATGACACAACCATACCATACAAAGCGAAAATGCCGGACTGAGCTCAGATACATAGGTCTTTTGGCACCAACCACTTCTACTGTATTTATTGTTCTGTGGTTTTTTATAAAGCTAACCAATTTTCTCTCGATTCCAGAGCCAAATTACGGAAGTGAAATCATCGCACGCGGATCTCAACAAAAGACCCACACTTCTCGACCGACTTCTCAGTCAACGTTCAACATTCTCATACTCAGGTTGAAACAGGAATTGACTTCGACAAAAGCGAGACTAGAAGAAACACAAAACGAACTGTCGGCGTGGAAATTCACGCCAGACTCGAATACAGGGACGAAGCTTATGGCCATGTGCAGGTTGTTGTACCAGGAGAATGAGGATCTCGGACGGATGACGTCCAGCAGGCGGATAGCTAAGTTAGAAGACGAATTAGCGCTGCAAAAAAGCTTTAGTGAAGAAGTTAAAAAATCACAATCAGGGTTGTCTTTTCGCGCTCATTTGTGTCTGTAAAGGTGGCGGTTCGGGTGGAGACAGAGACAAATTTCTTGTACGTGTACGTACCTTTAGTCTTTGGCGGAATGAAATAGTAACCAGTGTGGCCAACGTAGGCGATTTTTCGCCATTTAGGCTACTCAGGACGAAAATCAGCGACGAAAAAATCTGAAAGGCTACTTAATAGGCGAAAGGCTTAATGGGCGAATCTCCTAATGGCTACCAAAGAACAGATGAGCTCCCCATGAAAATATAAAAAGTCTGTGATATTAAGAAAGAACAATTGTTTATGGTTGCGCAGTTTCGGCAGGAATTTCCCGCGAAATCTAATATATTAAGTTTTATTAAACGTTTCAAAACAAAGTTTCTTGCAACTCCTCTTTAGCAATATATCTGAATGTTGCTTGCTGTGCTATTAAGTTGACTGGTTTGACTTTAATAAAAGAAAGTATAAAGGGCACAGCAATTTTCTTCAATACTTTGTGTATAAGTTCATCACCTAAAACATAAAAATAAATTAATTAATGATAACATACACTAGTAGAATAATGCTATAAGTATTAATGATAGCAGTGCCAGGAATGAAAAGGAATACTTGATAAGTGTTTTGCAAAATTTCAGCCTAACCTATCTTCAGGTTTAAATTGAGACGCACGTAACTCAACGAATTAGTAGCCTTAAAATTTTTCCTGCGAAGATCTTTTTCCCACAGTTTTCTTCTTTTCGGTTCTTTGGGGAATAAATGTATTCCCGTATTTTTGCAATCAACCGCTGCACAGAAGGTCATAATAGAGAATTATTGCTTAAAGACTTTGTTTGCTTACAAAAACACTGACAAATTATAGCCATAGCTATCAAAACCGAACTCTCTACAATGGTGACATCTGAAGGGAGCAATAGGCAGTTATTTACCCCATTATATCAATTTAATTACTTTTATATGATTCTACTTAGGTTTCATTTTTCATTTGAATAAATTATTGATTTAAATTACAATTTTATTTTATTTATTGCTTGTTTTTCATTTGGTGATTAGGCTACGACAGCTACAATTCGGCTACATTAGGCTACTAAAGTTGTGAAAAATGGCGACATTGCACCCAGTGCAGTTGGCAACACAATTAATTGTGATAATTAGGAAATCCAATGATATGTGGGCAATAACGATTGGCTTCTGTCGTCGCGTTTGTTGATTCAATCATAATAATATTTTATTGACATTTATTTATTAGTAGCAATAATGTTTAACACAATGCCTAATTCGATTATTTACGACATTTATATGAAATTTGTGAGTTTCTATGCGAAATGTTTGTATTTTAAAATTACAATGGATGTATATAAAGCTATGTTAATAAACATAATATATTACTGGCATCATCATTTTTATTCGCATTCACTAGTCACTCCTGCGTACGTGTTAAATTAAAATTTTCGGACATAGTTTACTGTATATGGATATTGGAGACATAAAAAATAACAATATATTGCTTACGTATTATTTCGATAACTTGACGGAATAAAATATAATATGGCACGGACAGAAGTATATGCCATAGTTTTAACAGCAGGTAAGGGTGTCAACATTTTATAACTTGTATAATTTACAATGTAAAATGGCGAAAAGTCTTGGATATTATTTATTGAAGCAATTTTTTAAAGTGACAGGTAGGAAAATTTAATTTTACACCGTGTATGCTTATGTGGCTTTAAGGGTCAAATCACACTGAAAGTGCAGAGGCGCGAAGCGGCCGGAAGCTCTAGCATGGTGCGTTTTTCCTATCGTTACCGTAGTACCATTAGTCAGTTCCATTGATGGTACAAAGGCAATCTTTTTTATGCCGTCGTTCCATTACGTTGATAATTCCATACTAAATGTTTTTGTTATCCGTAGTAAGGAATTAAATGATAGGGACCAGAACTTTTTGAACTAATCGCTACAAGTCTCGCGGTGCCGCATTAAACATTTTATCACTTCAAATAAATTTTAACTTTTTATAGAAGATAAGATTCAAAATGCTAAGTAATACTTACGAATGAGCCTGACTCCTTGAACAGCAAAGTTTAATCAATATGACGATTTCAAGTGTAATTTGCTTACCTACGAAATAAAGATGATTTGAATTTGCACCAGAAATGCTTTTCCGGCCGCTGCTCTAAGGTTGGTCTTCCTTTCGGCATCACGTTTAAACGTAACCAATTACGATTTATACGAATCTGCCGAACTAATACTATCATCAATTCATCAAGCACAAATGGTGCTGGACCTATTGCTACCGACTAACCAATTCTGACCGACTTGCAGTGGTGTTAAATTATCGGCCTTCAAAATTAAATAAGTCGTGAAAAAATATTTGTATTGTATTGTTTTGTAACATAATTTACTGTCCATACAAAAAGTGCACTTGGTGCTAGCTACGGTCGAACCGCAACAAACGCGCGTACCCTATGACGGCGCACAGGTGTGGAGGACCATGCTTAAATTTCCACATGAATACGAAGTTATACAACGACTAACAAACGATACAGGTAACAAATTTTACCATTTTGTTTGTAACACAAAAAATGGTTATCGCGTAACATACAAAAAAGTGCAGTCGAATTGAGATCCTCCTTTTTTTTTTGAAGTACACAAAAAGTACACAATTTAGGGATTTTATTTCTTAAAAATTACATCATCCATATGTGACCCTTGATTATTTTGACACTGCAGTAACCTAGAGCGGAAATTTTCAATGACAGCTGTACAGGTGTTTTATGAAATGTTCTGCATTTCCTCGCGAATACGTTCCTTTATTTCCTCAAGAGACACTGGGTTGCTGTTGAAAACTTTACTTTTAAGGTATCCCCAAAGAAAAAAATCCATTGGGGATAAATCTGGGCTACGAGGTGGCCAGTTAATGTTAGCTCTTTTGGATATAACTTTTTGTCCAAAAATTTTGCGAATTGCATTCAATGACTAGTTGGAGGTGTGACATGTTGCCCCATCTTGCTGAAACCATGATCGTTGATTAAAACCATCAAAATTCTGTAGCGCTGGAGCGAAAAAGTTATGTAGCATGGCAATATACCGCTCTGTATTCACTGTAACAGCATGTCCTCTTTGATCTTAAAAGTATGGACCAATAATGCCTCTTGCTGACAACGCTGCCCATACGGTAACCTTGGGCGAATGCAGGGGGTTTTGATGCTTCAATTTAGGATTACTGTCACTCCAATACCTGCAGTTTTGCCTGTTTACTTGTCCATTTAGGTGGAAGTGTGCCTCGTCTGAGAAAAAAGTGTTGGTGAAACTAGTGAACCTCTGTAGCATTTCGTTACCAAATTGGAGCCTGTGAGCACGATCTTGAGGCTTTAATTCCTGGACTATTTGAATTTTGTACGGATGTAAATCTTTATGGAGAATGCGGTTTAAAGATGTTCTGGGCACATTTACGACGCTAGACCGCTTTCGAGTAGATAGGCTAGGTTGTTCACGAACAGACGTTCTTACACGCTCTACGTTTTCTGGATCTCTTGAAGTTCTAGGTCGGCCGCATCGTGGTTGATCCATTGTTGAACCTGTCTTCTCGAACTTCAGGACCCATTTTCTAATCAATTGAATCGACGGAGCTTTATTTTTATGCCGTAAGTTGAGCGCAATATCTTCGTTGCGCTATAGTCGTAGAATCGTTGTTTTGATAGAACTCGCGTACGCATAACGCACGTTGTGCTCCCCTAAACGACGCCATGGCACTGAATTCCCATTGGCTGCTTTTGCGTTTCGTAACTTCTCCGTCCCACCCCGCCGTCGCTACTCGACGCAGCTACCGATTCAAAAGTAAACGGACTTTTGGTCCACCCTGTATTATTCACTCTATGTATGTTACTTTTTTAAATAAGACTTAGGGTAATTAATAATTACATAAAAATAATTGAATATTAATTCAATAAATATTTAAATACAATGAATAGCTACATCTTTAGTCGGGGCTGGTAGCTGTAAAGGTATCTGACTGGGTGACGAAATATCATAGATTTCTTATAGATAGCGTTATGGCTAAAAGTCGCAGAAAAACAAAATACAAAAATACGACGCAAGCACATAGAAAATTTCGTGAAGTGCGCTGGTTCGTTCCGTTGCTTATTATAGTTGGTACAGCGTCTGCCACGGTATGCTAGAAGGCATCGGTTCGAATCCGGCCGGATCGGAGGATTTTTTTATATATACTTTAAGGACTAACATAATTATAAAATAATATTAAAACGAAACAACTAATCTACTCGAAGTGCACTTGGCGTCGTGTGGTGCCATCTGGTTTCAGGTAACCTCCCTCGGAATCGCCGATATAACACCACCCTCGGTTAAACTCCTCCTTCACGAAGAATTCTAGAGAATGAAGTGTCATTATTTTAGGAAATGTGTTTGTTTTAGAAATAAATGAAATCAAAATTATCCCATTGTGAAAAGCCGGATGCAGTACACTTAAATCAATTCTTTTCAGCCGACTTCAAAACAAGGAGGAGGTTCTCACTTCGATTGTATGTTTTTTTGTATGTATTTTACGCGATAATTTCGGCATTTGTGAACCAATTTTGATGATTCTTTTTTTGTTAGAAAGAGGGTACTCCATTTGAAGAATATATTCCACCTCTAAGGGTAGCAAGGTCTAAGGGATGAATGACTTTTGAGGTCGGTTTTTTAGTACTTTGTACTAAGATTATTTCCTTAACAAACCGCCGTTTTACAAATTAAATACAAGAAATATGATTACTTAAGTGTATACACCGCCGGACATATAATTCGAACCTCTTCTCATTTTTATTCATAAAGGGACCAGATATAAAAATATTAAGTTGATTGAATATCATATGTCTCTGTCTACCCCTCCTGTGGGACTACGGCGTACGCTTATGTATGTATGTATCATTATCACGAAATTTTACTACCATGATATGAAATATATTTTTGTGAAATTACTCCGCTAGTTTGTAGAGTGTACAACAAGTTGTGACTACAAAAACTGTGAGGGAAGTAGGTATTATTTCAATTACCTAATTAAACAGACGGTAATGCATTCGTTGTGAGCAAACTACCGCCTACTATTATTCGATCGATAATATTCGATTATTATTCGAATCTCTATAGATTCGACAGATGTTCGGTCGGCCCTGTCACCAAAAACGAATCAAAATTCACATTGTGGCTGAACTCCAGCTGCTCGACCCTCAGGATTTCTTTGACTTTTGCTCTGATGTCTATCTGATGACCATCTCCTCAGACTTCTTTTTAAAATTTTTTTGCTAAATAATTGAACCTATAAATTTCCTATGACATCAAAACAACGGTCTCATGCGAGTTTCGAATCTATTGCTTAAATAATACAATAACTTTTTTACACACAGAAATATCAATATGGAAAATCACCCAAACACACGTAGACTACCTGGTCCACAGTGAAAATATGACTAGTGTGCAACAAATGCTGGCCGAAAACAAAATGACATACATCGTGCTCAATGAGGACGTAGAATCAATTATACGTAATACTGTAATGTCCACACAGTTATGGGTAGATCACAGTCCTGGAATCGGTAACCTATTAATATTTTAATAACTGTATAAACGTAAAAGAAAACTGGTAGTTGTCAACTATATTTAAAAAATTTTAAAATTACTACCATCATGCAAATGAAATTTCACTTTTCATAAAGCGTTATCCTAATTTCTTTTCGTCTCACGGGATGAGCAATTCTATGCCTCTACCAGAGATTACATAGCGCTAGTGACCGCGAAAAATTGTGAAGTAATTTACGTAGTCGCTAACAACTGTCACGGTAAACTCGTGGTGGAGGCACTGATCAGCTGAAAACTAAACCGTGTAAAACTGCTCTACTTAAAAAGAGTGAAATTTTAATAGCTACGAACGTCTACAACAAACTTCTAAGTGAAATTAGGATTTGCAATAATTGTGCGGAATTTAAGAAATTATTATTACTTATAAACTATTACAAATTATTGCATGAAAATTACATAAAAACTATGAAAACTTTGTATGCCGCAAGGCGTAACGCCCTTATAGCCTGTGTATCGCAAAGAAATAATATTATTTCATTAGATTTGACCTATTAACGCGGTATGGGCCGGAGCCAATCAGAAAAAGTACGAAAATGACAAAGAGATTTGGGATAAGAGTCCAAAGTGTCAAACCTGATGTGCTCTTGGCCGCTTCTTGCCCGTGGACCACCTGGTTGGTTCACCTCGGTGGACCACGGGCACTTATTTTTTCCCGTGGTTCCCCTATGTTCACCTATGGAGTTTTCTTATGAGTCTCCTTGGTTTAAAACTCCTTAACATTTCAATAGCAAAGGTAATATATTGACTAATTTATTATCTATTAATTGAGAATTTAATGAATATTCATTGGTTTGATGGCGTAATTACTATAAACTGATGTAGGTTACAACATCACATGATGTAGGGTACAACACGTTAAAAACTTTCTTATTTAAATCGTCGTGAAAAGTTGCATCTAGGTGGGCCTATTAATTTTGAATTGAAATACAAATTAGATTGCTATAAATAATACGTGTCGTCCTAAAGCAAAAAGCTCGCATTTTACACACTTTATTTTTACTGATTTTTGTTCAAGCTAAACTTAAATAAATATCTTATTTCATTTTTATTTTTATATATTATATTTTTGTATATCATTATATTTACTTATTTATTTTTTGTGAAAATACTCCCCTAGTTTCGTATTAGTAAATATCTATACAAAGATATATTTGTATTTAAATACATTATTAAAGTACACCCATCAAAGTGACAAGGGCCAAGCACGTTTTTGCTAATTACTGAAAGTCATAAATTTAATTTTTTTTTAACACCAATCAATTTCTTTGGTCTATTTCATTTTCAAATTCAAATTATACAATTGAACAAAAAATTTGTCGATGTTAAAAAACCTGATTTTCAATAATTGGGAAAAACGTGCTCGATCCCTTGACACTTTCGATGGACGTTGCAACTAAAAGAGAAATAATTTAACTAATGAAAATGCCAAATATAAACATTATATTTTGCACCACATTTTTTATCCTGAAAAATTATATACAAATCGCATACCGAGATATTCACTCTGAGACGACGACATTATTATCATCTACAAACAAATTCGTTTATTAGTATAAACTAGTTAAAGCGGTTGTAGATATAGCAAAAGGGAAATTGGCTCGAACCGGTACCAGTACAAGCAATATATCGGTTTAAAGTAGTCTACGCAATAAATTCAGAATTTCTCCTCCCCACCTTGCTCATTTCAGGTCACAGACTGAATTGGAAGAAATTCCCTTCTCTAGAAGTCATCAATGAATACATTGAATATTTGAAAATAAAATATGCATCTATATGCACCGTTCGCACAATTGGATATTCTATCGAAAGGAGACCTATACAGGTAAATAAGATTTAAACACGATACCATAAAATATAACGATATGAGTACTCACAGACCTATAATCAATATATACTCCAGGTACCTTTTTTTACCTATAATCA